TAAATAAAACGTCAAAATGTACGTACTCAAATTGTTTGTTTAAGACGCCGTGTTATTGTAATATTAATTTAAATAATAGCAACAATAATAGTATTATGTACATATTATATTATTAAATAAAAAAAAAAACATGACAACACATATGTATAACCAGAAAAAAAGTCGTTATGTGGTAAAAAATAAAACAGAAGGACTAAAAAATATGAGTTCAAATTGTACAGTAGGTACTAGCTGGTGGTATACCCTAAGTTAGTAATGGAATAAATCAAGCGTTTGTATTTTATTACGAAAATGTTGTTTTATGAATACAAAATACATTTAGGAAAAAACTATGAAGCAGATGTTCCTCGGCTAGACATGGCATGTTATGTGCATAAAATATAAGCCTATAATAATATTAATTGTATATTATTCTATTTTATATAGACGTTTATTGCGTGGGTAATGGTATGTTTCTCGACTCCTATACATAGGTACATAGCTGGACGTGTTATGTGATATAATAATGAAAAATGAATTTAAAGTCTCGAAAACGTCAAGTCTGTGTCCACGAAGGGTACCTACCGTTCACTCCAACTATCCTATCAAAGGTCGTAGTCCATATAGACAGGAGTCAAGGCATTAAAATACAATACACATTATATACGATTGTACGCGGTACCTATACATAGCGTGGTAAACACGGGCCCATGCTGTCGACAAATCCCTTTCTACATCTTCAACCCCTCACCCCTCCCCGATCATAATATTTTCAAGAGCAAACAATAGTCGAATAAGTACTTGGCGGCAGCGTAGTACTTAAATGTATTGTTTCGGCACGTCATAACAGATTTCGGTTTTCCTGCGTTAATATAATAGTTTTACGGTTTCAAAAGCTCTCTCTTTGTACGCATATAGGTATATAATCATATCGCTCACACATATACACATACGTGCACGCGCAAAAACACAGCCATACAATATATACTCACGGGCACAAACTATTTTCTTTGCAACGAGTTTACTTCGAATGTTACCCACCCACCTTTCACTAACGTACTGAAAATACACCAAATATGTATATTATATTTCACCGTACCAATAAGATACGAATCTTTTCTTTTAACATTCTCCAACATTAAGGAGATGCGCATTCTATCTTTCATGTAATATAATAGTCTTATTATAGTCTCTTCAAGTGATTGCAAAAATCAAATCCAATCGATCCCCATGCATGTCATCATTGAGTAAATTACTTGAATCATTATAGATTCTGAACAGAACGATGAATGTAGTGGTTTCACAATAATATGTTTTTTTATTCATTTTTATTTTGTATGTATCTGGACATTTTTTACTGAATGAAATATAATTCGATCTCAACTTTTAGGAAGAATTCTGGTTAAGAATTTGAAAAAGTTAAAAGTTCCACGTATTTTTTTTCTTAATAATCAAAAAACTAAAAATAAATAAATTATAGAGTAACGTGAATATTTCCTGAATACTAATATTTGAAAAAAATTGTTTTATTATTTTGCCATAAAAAAAAAAAAAAAAAAAAAATCAACGTAGAAAATATTCACTATTGGTTAATACTTAAAATATTAATTTCCACATATAATGAAATTTTAAAAATATTTAAGTTAACATAAATCTATACGTCTTGTACCACGAACCTATTCACACCATTCTTCAATAGTCTCGCCAATATTGATGACTTATAACTTATAAAAAAATAATATGTGAAATAAAATTAAAATAATACATGCGATTCGTTTTTGGAAAAAAATTTATTACGATACTTTAATAGAAAAATAAATGACTAATACTTAAAATAAAATAGTATTATTTATAACTAAATTATATTGTTTATTACATCACTTAATAAATGACAAATTACAATTGACATATACCATACCTACGCATATTAACTTTCCTGATTACTTTTTAATCTAATTCTGACAAAAAAAAATAATCTAATTTAAATATAGTTTAATTGACCACAAATTATGGGTAAGACTCTATAATGGTTTAAAAAATGATTAATTCCATTAATCAGGAGTCATTATACTTTTTCACTGATACTACACAGATTGAATGAAAACGCTAAAAATAAAATGTTTATAACATCAAATTTATACGTGAAAAAAACCTAATCAATAACTAACTATGATTGTATTAAAAAGTTTACAAGTTTTGTTTGATTAATGAATTATCGACATCGTTAGCATTGTATACAATATATTATAGTTAACAATTATTTAATCGTAATAATATCGTCTGAAAATAAGAGTGTATATTATAATATCGAAGTACTGGGTATAATAACATTATACATGCTTGAATCATATATTCATAATATAATATGTGTTTGTCAAAGTCATATATAATAATCTATATGGTACGCAGTTCCGGCAAAGCATATAACAATATAATGTCACTTTTCGAGCGCAGTAAATAATAAATATATATATATATATTCTTATCACTGTTTGTCAAGTGGGGGCATCGCGTATAGTGGTGCAAAATGTATTCTAAAAGACGTCTGTCTTAACGACATTTCTTTCGAATTTCCTACTTTATATTTAATTTGAAAAGTTTAAAACGTCTTTTGGAATTACGTATACGCGTTTACATACGTGTTTCGCCTGCAATTACCCCTGGCGAAATGACAAATTACAACGCCCGCATTGCTATATATGGATCTACAGTGTGATTTACTAATCAAGCTCATCGCCATTTTTTTTTTTAATAATGAATTTGTTTAAGTCCTAGTTTTATTTTAAGTACATTTAAAAACAATATTTTAAAATATTTGGATTTTATAAGATGTATTCTAATATTCTATAATATTGATCCCTACTATACTTTTTTTAACAAAATAACCCAATTATTAAGCAAATGACTTGTTCGAAATGTATTTATGTATCCAAGTCGAAATTCAAACGAATAATTTATAAATTATTTACGTTTTTTTTTATAATAGTCTTATGACAGTAAGTTTGGAATAAATAAGTAGAATATGATAATTTAAACATTTAAATCAATAATAGGAATTAAAAAATTGTTCAAGTATAATAAATATTAGATCCAATATCATACATTTATATTTTATATTTGTATAATACAATTATTAAGTACCTACTGTTATCTTTAGTATATCTATACAATTTAATAACTTAAACATTAATCTTTCAAATTTTGATTTAAATACATAAATATTTAAAGAAAATAAATCCCACGATTAACAGTTTTTGTTGAAAACTGTTAATTTTCATTATTGTAAAAATAAGTTCCTTAATACCACAAGATACTTCTTAAATAGTTACTATAAAATATCTAAATAATTGCAAATATTATGATCCTCGTTACTATATTAAAAAAAAATATTTTGTTGAATATGTTCTGTGAATCATTCTGTTTATGATACATGTTTACTACTATATTATATGTTTTTATATCCGCAAAAAATGCCGTCAATGTGCTAAGGGTGACAACGATGAGTATAATAATATATTAAAATAACCTATTTCAAAACCATATTATTGTATAATAATATCAAAATAATTGATTTTCCTCTACTTAATAATATATACGATATAATGAGGTGTATGTGTATAAGTGTGACAATGTTTTCATATAAATTTTTGTATTTAAGTTGTAATTTTCGTATGACTGATAGTTGATAGAACTAGGATAGGGTTCGTTAAATGTGTTTATATTTCCTAAATAATTATTTGAGGTACCTATAATTTAGACACTATAATTATGCTGACACAAGTGTTTGAAAAACCAAATTATATCCACGTCGTTTGTAAAAATCGCATAGTGTAAAAATATTGCGAATACATGTCACGTTTTCAGCTGCCATTGACTTTATATTATTATAATACAATAACGTTTAAAAGGGTTAAATAAAAATAAACGTAAATAAATAATTTGAAAAAAGAGTTTCACGAAATAAATTTAATTACATGTTTGAATACAAAAGGACTGTAACCAACGCAAACGATTTATCATATTAAAATAACGATGATCCAATCATTGTGATAAAACTGCTCCGAGCTGCAACCGTTCCCGACCTCTGTGGTTCACGACCCGAATTAGCTGGTTAAGGCGAGGACTTAAGCTACAATAGGTCACATAAAATTGATCTAAATTAAAATATTAAAATATCAATATTTAACTATTTTAAGTGTTTTAGAATCATGTATACACGCGTTTAAAAAACAAAAAAAAAACTATAGAATAGTCAATTACAAGTTACAACTCACAACCCAACAAAATTACAAAATAGAAGGACATAATTGTAATACACTTAAACTTTGATATTTCATTCAAAAACAATGCAAAATCATTACATTTAACAAACAAATATGATTAGAATTAAATTAAAACCACACTTTAATAGTTTAATGTCTTCGTATCTTGTACAATTTATCTGCAGACTTTGTAAAATAATTATTGTTACAAATTAATTCTCCTATAAGAATTAACTAGATACTATTGCCTTAATTTTAGATAACCTGTTAGGTTCATGTGTACCGAAAGTGAAAAAACATCATGACGTAATGATAAACCTATAAATCTCGGGTGACAGAAATTCTCGATGAGATCTCAGCCTATATTCGCATCAATATTGATTATCGAATGAGTTTTTGTCAATAACAATGAACATTTAAAGTTTGATCAACCAGTACAATAGCCGATGAAATTTTTTAATTTGTCAAAGTAAATGTAAAAATAATCGTAAAAGAACGTACGCTATTATGTGGTTGTGATTGCCGAGTCTTAAGACTACTAAAAACGTGAAATAAATTCAATACGCAAACAATACTGGCCAAGGTCGATCGCGGATGTTGACCGGACTCGTATGATAACTTCGTCGCACGTCACACGATCATAATAATATCGTCATTAAATTTTTTTACGTCGCTGTTTGCAGATCATAATATTATATAATCATTTTTAGTTTTCAATTATAGTCTCATTAAATAATATAATATTATGTGTGTTTTCAGGGGTGTCTGGCCGTCAAACCGCATTCTCAAACCGCACCAATAATACGCAGAGGGACTTTGATGACAATATGACGGCAAGTCGGTGGCGATGACTGTCGTCGCTTCGGTGACGACGACCGCTGACACTGCAACCGCACCGCAACGATGACGGGAACGACAACGTGGTCGGCAGCGACTGCGGCGGCGGTTCCGTCAGCGGCCGCGGACACGTGGTAGTGCGTGGCCGCGCATCCGGCTCGGCCGTTCTCCGAGGTCATCGTCGCGTGCGATCGGCGTCGGACGACAGCCGCACCGCCACCACCGACAACACCGCCACCGACAACACCGCCACCGAGGCGGCGGCGGGGGGACGGCGGCCGTCTCGACGGCCGCTCGTCCACGACTGCGACGCGACCGACGGTTCGTCGCGCTGGCCCGCTGACCGCGTCGCGGCGACCACCACTGCCCGCGCGCGCGCGCCGACCACCCCGAGAGCACGCGAGCCGCGCGCCGCCCGTCCACGCTAACGGTGGCCGAAACGCGACCGCCGAACGCCCGCCGCCAGTGGCCGGGCCCGATGAACCGGACCGAGTGCCAGACGCTGCGCGACTCGCTAGTGTGGAGAGACGCGCAGGTTTTGGGCACCCTGGCCGGACTGTCTTTCATCGCGCTGGTCGTGACCGTCGGCAATACGCTCGTCGTGGCCGCCGTGTTCAACAGCTCCAAGCTCCGGTCGCCGACCAACACGTTCATCGTTTCGCTGGCCGTGTCCGACCTGATGGTCGGCGTGGCCGTGTTGCCATTCAGTGCCACCTGGGAGGTGTTCAAGGTAACGACACGAACGCTATAATCATTATAGTTATTGTTTAATTAAAAAAAAATTAATATAAAAAAAACTTTTTTATACATTTTATCTATAGTACGTCATTATTATGTTTTGTCATTATTACAATTAGGTAACCAATTTAAAATTCTAAGGGGGGGGGGGATAAGATGACCCCTGGGGACACCTATTTTTATGGCAGTACATAGAAGCTAAACGTAAGCTATTATATTGCGGTGAATAGCATTAAATTGAAAATACATTTATTTTCCTCTGCAATCATTGATCAAATACTCGTACATATAATACCGAAGAATCGTCATTATAAACAATACGAAATAAATATTTAAGCTATGCGTGAAATCAGCCACTTCCAAGACCAATTTGTTGGAAACTTATTTTGTACTGTTAAAATGAATCACGACGATTAAAAACAGATCTGACGACAAAAATGAACTCCGTAAAAATTGGGTAACTAGTGCACCAATAGTAAATAGTGCGGGTTTACCCGAATTATAGCTGTTCGTCTATTTTTCATTCATATATAAGCAGTACAATCATTTTTATTTATAAATATCCCGCATCTGATATTTTCAACAATTTTCATCACATACACGATTATAATGTTAATTGTGGTATATTAGAACATTATCATAACTTCACCTATACTTTTATATTATGTAGGAAAATAACGTTGATGACTGGTTATACGAGACGAGCACGAATAATAATTATTATAAGCTGTGACCCTGGTGGTTGCCTATCTCTACTTTATAGCGCAAGTTTATGAGCAGCCGATGTACATACGTGTGTATGTGTATAAGTGTGGTGTATAGTGGGCATGAGTAGTGCAATCAACAGCGATAGGAATCGCTGGAAAAATACTGATGAAATAAGTAATAATTATTATGAGTGTGTTCGTGTATTACTGAGAAAATACTTTTTATTTCAAAATACATGAACATTTTCGATAATATTTTGTTCCCATAATTTTCAGTCTGAATAAAAAAGTTGTATTTTGTATCGTTATATTTTTCTAGGTATTTTACTCTTTTGAATGATATATTAATTTTTAATTTAATAGTCTGAAGTCGAATTTTTTCGGAGTATTTTGTACATAAAAATCGAATTTCAAACGAGTAATTAATGAGTTATTAATATTTAAAGTTTTAGTGAGCGGAAAAGTAAACCAACATTTTGCGGAGTATCACTTTACTTAGTTAATCTAAACTTAAAATACTTATAGCTCATAAATAACTTGTAAACTTTCAATTTTTAAGTTTTGAGATATTTTCTAGAAAATATTTTTCTTCAGAATATGAAATCAAAAATGTTTAAAAAAACTTAAAAAATTAGAACGATAAAAAATGTTGTTTTATTCCAACTGGAAATTATGGTGAAAATGTATTTTCAATAGCGCTAATAGATTTTAAAATAATGAGTATCGTTTAAAACAAAGTCACCCTGTATATGTATACTTGTTCGTATATACTTAAGACTAGTAAACAATAGTAACAAGGTTCTAGTAATAAATATGTAGTTGACGTATCATAAATAATTTTGAATAACACTCAATGTATAATAAATTGCAGCACAATATTATTACATATACGTCTTGGACTACACGATATAATAATATACAGTACAGCCCTTCTGGCCCAACAGAATAAAACTAAATTTAGTACACAATTTAATAATACAATAGCATTCTCAGCTCAACCAAACAAAATAAAAATAAAAAAAAACTACAATATAAAAAAAAAAGAAGATAATAAAAAATACTACAGCTACTCACAACGTATGACGGCGCCAAGACTGGGTAGTCTCTTCAACTAAACTTAAATAATATTTATAAACTGAAACTGACAATTTGTATTTGGTATAAACCTAACATATTTAAGTTAACTGAAAACTATAATATCTAAAACAATTCAAAATCAAATATAGGTAATAATAGCAAGTGATTTACGCACGCGTATATTCTATATATTCTTATTATAAATTATAATAATTCGGAGATTAGCGCACAAGACTCAACAGAATAATAATAAAGCAATTCATATTTAAATTAAAAAGTCGCTGGCTTTTTGAGCCAGAGTGAATTGTAATATAAAAAAAAAAAAAAAATGGGTATACAACAATTAAATATACAGTAATAATATGTATGAAAAAACTTTAACAAAAATGTGCAGCCCATATAAAATTAAGGGTTGTTATTTATAAAACAAATGTTCTTAATATGTTACCATTTGTGAATCTTGTAGACATGTGATCATCAGAGCAATAATTTACGTATATTCGTTTTCACAACGCTACGACTTGTGTTAATCCAAAACGCGTCGTATATTACTATTATTATCGATTCATGAAAACTACACAAACACATGAAGTGTCGCGTTTACTAATCCGAAATAATTTATATCATTAATCATAATAAAAAATCGTATCACTACGAATGATATAACATATAATACAATATTATGCGTACATGTGTACCTACATATTATTATACAGGAGACTCATGCTAGATATACTGAATGTGCACATACAATTTATCTCGATGTGACAAAACATTTGTTATATATTGTATCTGCGATATCGGCATAATGCATTATATTTTATGTATGTATATATGATACACGTATTTGATATATATAATATGTATTTTCATTTTTTACGATAGGTATGTCGACGTACCAAACATACATTATATCTCATACCAAGTATAACGTTAAGCGCAGACGAAAAAAGTTTTTGGAGCCTAGGACAGATTTCTTCCAACGAGACCAAAAAACGCTATCTTTTTTTAACATTTAATTGTTAAACTTTATTAATTTTATTACTACTCATTAATAATAAAATGTATATATTACCCATGAACAAGTACCATCTATTATTTATATGTGTACCATATAAATAATATTTAAATATCATCTAGTTTTCGAATAGTATACTAATATACCTATTATTTATTTCAAAATGAATAAAAATTATAATTTTGACATTTTTTTAGGCACCTATTTCTTGATAAATATCAATAAATTAATTGATATAATTAACATGTAACTAAAAATTAATTATATTGGTTTATCCAGGTTACAGTTGCTTCTAAAACTACTTATTAAATAAATTTACATGTTTACGAATTTATACTAAATATTACCTTATTTTAATTTTTATATCAATATTCCATTCTAGTTTATATGAAAAATTAAATTTTTACCTTGTATTAATAATACACCCCTAGTTATATTCGACAAAAAAAAAAAAAAAAAACAAAAAAAAACGAATCGAAACACTTAATATAATTTCTATGGTTAAATTAACAAAACTTGATTAATTAAATAATGAGAATTTGTAATATTGAAATTTAACCACCAATAGACTTGACTATTTTTTTTACTTTTTTAGTATAAAAATATTAATTACATATTATATGACAATAAAATAGTTGAAAAAAAAAATAAAGAAAATTATTAAATATGAGATATTTAAAATACTTTGAATAATTTATGGCTGAGATATTGGTATGTTTTCTTCCCGTTTTATACACTAGTTAAATTGTTATATCATTTAAAATGACCAACGCCTCGATTCGAATAAAGGTCAATCGATCTAATGGTAGTAGTTCTACCAAGTAGATAATTAACACGGACAAACGTTCTCATTTAAGCGAATCGTCCGAAAAACACCGATCGTTAGTGGAGAACGACAGATGAGCATGTGTAATCGATTATTAATTATCCAGTAAAATGTTATATAGTGTTTATAGATGATAATACGGTTTAAAGTTTATTATACATTATCAATACTAAACTATATTATAAAGACGCGAGATCGAACAATAATGAGTTGAGAAAACAGATTATTATATGAATATTATAATTTAATTCACTATCAAGATATTGTTAAACTAATGTCAGAAATGTTAACAATTATTATTTATTCATAACGTGAAAAAAATATAATATCCAGGATATAATATGGGCGAAAAACTGAAAATTCTTATTTATTTTATAATGCAAAAATAATCTATGTGGACCAATAAAAAAAATAAAACTAAATTTGAATCTTTTGGGAATCTATATACATATCATACTGAATAATAATATATAAAATATCTTTTACTAGAATCGAACTCACAAGGAAAACTATTTATTTTATTTCAAACCCTCAGTGGGCCAACTCTAACTTCTATTTATATTCTATTTTTGTAATTTTTAATCAAAAATTTATTATGACTTATAATTTTGTATAATATTGCATACTACATAATAAATTTGTTGATGATAATTAATTCAAATATATTTTATGCACTTAAATAAATATATAATTTAATAAGCACAAATATTATGTTTTTATAAATAACTAATAATTATTCATTTATCTGGTGCAAAACGTAATGGATTATTTAGAACGCATGCCTGTGTGACAGGCACAATATTGCACGCCAATTTACCCAAAACAACGATTTGATGTTCGTTTTAATATCGATAACAGTTGTCCCAGACATACTTGCTTATAATAGAACTACCAAGATGTGTATATAATTAGTTATTTGTCACTAACATTTAAACGAACTGACGATAAATGCACAATATTACTTGTCTTGATATGGATATTATGAAAATATACTAATATACTAATTGTTTGGTAAACTACTAAAAATCATCATAAAATTTGTTAATTAATTATTTGATTAGGTTTTTGCTTAGCTTTTTAAGCTTACACATATTATACAGTGCAAATAGAATAAATAGGTTTACATTTTTTAATAACAAACATCATAAAAGTATAAAACGGAATATTTCTAAAATGATCTTGTGTATAAATAAATGAATTTTTGCATCTTTCTTTTTTATTCTTCATAATAATACTCGTAAATTTAGATACTTTGAGAGTCTATAGTGACATTTATTTTTAACTTTATAAATCTTCTTTTAAGCTATTTACCTGTTTATATATATATATCGAGAGTCCTGTTTGACTTAAAGTCTTGTTCTGCATCAGTACGTTTTCCATAATATATTCTTTTTTTCACACCTTATTATATTGTAAGCTTTTTGTTATGCATCCTACTTTTTACATACCTTAAATAATAATATCCAGACTTATAATTATTGATTAAACAAATGGTCACGGTGTTTAGGTTAAATAAATTAATAATTAATCGAATTTTTACGTACGACACAACACACAAAATTATAAGCTTCGAACGCATAAACATTTGAAACGCAAAAATAGTGCGATCAAATATTAAACGGAGGAGATAAAAATCGAAAAACACGGCCAAGATGACTATTTTATAAGACAAACTGAAAATGAAAATACTGTAGTTACCATTTCACTACAAGTACCAAAAACCTTATAGTCAGTACCTGTTTAACCATGGTTACCATTTTTGTTTAGAACCTCACTAGACTTTACCAATAAACGTTTCATGATGTAAAATTTCCTTGAACACAACATCTATCTGTAAATTTAACCAGTGAGATTCTATAAACCATATAGCTAACTACTGTATGATTGGGGTCAGAGTTACCACTGTAAGTATGGTATAAGGTATACAAGTGTCAAGAGCGTAACTACCATGGTTTTCGTTAGTTACTGATCTTACATTTTACAACAGCGATCTTCCGATTAACGATTTTTGTTCGAATTGTCTATGCATCGTTGCACGTATATAAAATAATTGTGTGCAGTGCCGCATTTCGGTGAAACGGTTCTTGAACGCGTCTCTACGTAATTTCAAGCTCAAAGGATTATGCGCCCGGTAGCTCGCAAAGGTAGGATGCAATCAGTCATCTATATTATTCACTGGTTTCATACAAAAAAAATGACATTTTCATAATATGCGTCTCTAAGATAATTAAAATTTATAGTATTTGCTTATCATGATATAATATGCATCTGTTGCAAGGTTTATAGATAATATGTATAAGCCTTGCAACTACTATACATATAATCATAGAATGAACACTGATAAAAATTAAAAATTTACATGAGCATATAGAAAAGCTGAAAAATCAAAAAATCAATCAGCCATGTTTTTAGAGAATAAACAGTGTGACCACCAAACACATACATTGATAAACTTTTTTTCATTATATAGAATATCATAATATAAATATTATATTAATTTACATAGTTAATTAAATAAAAATTAAATCATCAACATGTCAAAATGTATACAAACAAAAAATAAAAAATTCAATAGTAAGCAATATAGGTACAGATAATATATTTTTTTTATTTAATGAGAATGTAACGTAGTCAGGAGAACGACCTGAAAAATACAAGATATCTAGGGCGAATCATAAGATCCCGTGGATATAATTACCGTAGCCGGGGGTAAATAGAGATAAAAGGATCAAAAATATATTTAAATAAGTATGAAATCATAGATTTCATAATACTAATTATTCTTATATTACTTACAAAATACTTATAACATTAACTCACATACAAGTAACTTTAATATATTATAATAATCGGTGGCTGTGACATAATCCTGCGAAGTTCAGTAGTCGGTGGTGTGTTGATGTTTAATATGTACAACGAACTGTCGTTCTTGCATAGTATGTATTGGAAAAAATGCCTTAAATACAGTTAATTATGATTTGAATGGGTGATTGTATCGGTCAACAGTTAGTTTTTTAATGTTACATAATTTTTTTTAACGAGTCATATTTAATCTTGAGATACCGATAAAATAATAAAATACAAGTAGTTTACATTAGTCTTACATATAAAAAATCTTATGAATGTGATCAATTTTATGAGTGATGTATAAAATTCCACAACATTTAATATAGGCATCTCTGATCAATACTAAATTATTTCACATGCAATATTAATTGTTTAAGTAAGCATAATAAAGCTTCAGAATCCTATAAAACAAAAATATAAAAAGAAAAAAAATACTAAGTAAATTTTAAATAATTTACTTTAATATTAAAAATTGATGTTTGAACTTTTTTTTCTATAAATGTCAAATTATTATCAATTTTTATTTTTTCGTGGAACAGGAAGTAAATTTTGATTTAAAGTCTTAATAGCATAAATATTCTGAAACGTATACATAATAATTTTAAACATGCAATATCAAAGTTTGTACACGAATGACTAAATGGAACATTATCAATAAAGTTTTTTAATTTTATACCTACATTGTTTTCTGTAGCTAAATTTGAAAAATTAATAATGAAAATTGATTTACATAGTTATAAAATATGTCAGGTAGCATTAAAAGATTTCCAAAAGTAGTTTTTTTCTTTATTTGAGTAACTTTTAAAATAATTAAATAAAAATAAATCACCTAGATTATTTTGTATTTTAATGAAATTTAAACAAACATTAAAAATGTGTTTTTGTAAACATTTTTAAAGCAAATATCCACATACATAAGTCAATGCATTTTTAGGAAGATCTCTATAATCTACTTTCCCTACAGATAATGAATATCATTTATGGTGTGTTGTTTTAGGTAATATAATTTTTGAATTAAAAGGAATAGTCAACTATTTAAGTTAAAATAATATCAAGATCGTCAATGCAATTAGCTACATCAAAATATTTGAAATAGTTCACCATTAATAGTCACAAAAATTTCTGAATACATTTTTTAAGTAACCTTAGTTTAATCTGTTTGTAAACAATATAGTATATTTCCCTTTTATATCTTTTCACAATGATTGTAATACAGCATTAATTGTTACTTAGCACTAATTAATTATAAATTTCTTTCTACAAGTTATATTTTCATTATTAATGTTTTTTACTATCAAATTCTTAAAAATTATTAATATAAATAATAAGTATTTA